ATGGCGCGGCAACCAGCGGCCACCCGCGGTCGCACTAAGCAAAAAGGAACCCGTTCCGACCAAACTAAGGGACCGACCACCACCTACGGTTCGGACGGCGACGACGGGTAGCGGTGGGATACTGGGAGGTGCCCAGGACTATGCTGTAGCGACATGCAGTGGTTCGCGGTGATAGCACCGTCGTTCCGATGAACGAGGGAGATGGAGAGAGGAAAGAAGTGGTGCGTGAGCACCAGTGGCATACCACAAAGTACCACCGAGGCGTTGGTGAGGATGTGGAGTCCCTGTGTGACGTTGGCCACGTGCGCGCGCGCGGCGGAGGCGGCATCGTTCCGCGGTGGCATGGTCGTATCAGCTCATCTCCGACGGGACCTCCAGCGGATCTAGGGTGAACACCGGTACCAGGTGGTCAAGACGAGTCTCCAGTCGACTTGAATTGAGCAAAAACCAACCGTAGCGACTTACCCCCAAACGTGCCATCCACGACGGCGAGATGACCGGTGACCGCGGAAACACTAAGTTCGTCCGTGCCAAGGCGCGACAAAAGCCTCGATAGGGGTCGCCTGGCTAGTTGACTCCCTAGGCCACTTGCTGGTGCAAGGAATTGAACTGCGAAGCTCCGAGCTAAGCGAATCGAGAGGCAGAGCGTGCGGTGCTCCCGTTGTGGTCATGTCGTGGAGAGGCACATGAGTGAGCTCGGGTGGACTAAGACTGTGGCTTCGACCGATAGCTGTAGTATGAGCACGTGCGCACAGGTGACGAGACCGGGGAGGGCCTGGCGCGACGCGCTTGAATTGGAGTGGTCGAACCCGAGCAGGTCGCACCGGCGTCGGCTAGCGGGGCGGGACAGGGAGAAGTCTCATCACCTCGGTGACCGGGGTAGTCGACCTAGACGCGGCGGCAGTGCCACATGTCTAGATGTTCGACGCGGTAGGTAGGACAAAGGGTGGAGCGAGCACCATGTTGTCAAGGCGGCGACCGCCGTAGCTCCGCCACGACCCCACGCATGGCTCGGTGGCTGGACGTTGGCGCGCGTAGACCGCGACAGTGGGACCAGACCATCGCCAGCCGGGTCAGGCCACGCAAGGCCTGGGCGCAGCGCGGCATTGGCCTGGCGCACGCGCGGGCCGGCTGCCACGGCTTGGTTGCGACGTGACCCCGACGCCAACCGCGCTATGCCCGCAGTGACCGCAAACACAGTCCAAACGGTTGCCCTAGGTGACGTGCATGCATTTTAAAGCGTAGCAAAAGTTACTAACGATCACAGTTGAGGTTCAACTAACTCCCCTATCGTAAAGTCCACATTGCCAACGACCTAGCAACGCCATCGCCATGACCAGACAACAACCAGGGAAGGAGATAGATGAATGCCAATATGAGCTCGTCGTTCTGACCACCAGTTTGTGAACGGATCGCCAACACACGGTTTCAACATGTTTTAGCGAAGTTTGGGAATTTTTTAAGAGGACAACATGACACCTACCACCACTACCACCTAAGCCATGCTCAAGTACTCGCTTAGAGGCAACCAACGGTACAAGAACATGAAGTTAGTGTTTAAACAATTTTGTTAGAATTTGAATGTCAAAACGGCATTGTCTACTATAATTTCTAGACTTAGAAAAGGGCAAGGTCCGGTTAGAACTAACAACCATTAACGCTTTTGTCACAATTTTTAATATGTCTAAACCTTATTAATTTCATTCAATAAGCATTTCACACAATAGTCCATACTTCATACTAACCCATAGGAGCAAAACATTTAAGCACCCTTTTAACTATTTTGTTCAATATAATTCACCAAAATGACATTTTAAACATAAGTTCAATTTCTTACCGATTAAACGAAAAGTTCTAGTTTAAATTTCGGACTCGATGTTTGAGCTCCCCAAAACGCTAGTTAACAATATTCACTTCCCAAAAATTAAAGTTGCACTCGTATCTACACTATTTGCTCATCATTTTTACATAAACACTATACACACGTTATATGTTGTTTCTGTTTACAGAAATTGTTTTTCGTTTCATGTGTGTTTTAACTCGTTAAAATTTGAAAACTCATTCGGCTAGATTTTCCGAGGCCTTAACCTATGTGCTAATCAAGTTCGTAACACCAGAGATGTTACCGATAGTGAGAGAGAAAGTAAGAATGAGGATTGAGAAAGCCTTTGTTGTTTCCCCTTTCTTTGACGGAGTGATGGATGATTTTGAGGGATTGAGAAAAAGTAGAAAAAAAGATTAGAAAACGGATCTGGTGGAACATATATTTTTTCCTCAATCTCCTTTGTTGCTTGTTATATGAGAAGAGAACTGCTTTTAGTCAATCTGGTGGAGTTCCTCTCAGCTCGGCTCGTTACATTTGGTTCAAAGTTGGATCTCAAACAACACGGGAGATAATGATATAAAAAGAACAAATCAATGTGCACTAAAAGTTTATTTTTCTTATCTAAAAGAATAAGAATGAGGTGGCACGACAGGAAGTAGCAGGAAGAAGAGGGGACAAGTGGCAAGAGAAGATTAAGTTGGGAGGAAACACTAGCGCACGTAGAAGATCAAAGGCCTTTTCCTTTTTGCAAACTTAATGGAAGAAGTTGTTTGAATGCCAAGTCCTTATTTGCACTTGAATAGCTTGTACTCCTTCCATCCTAAAAAAAATATGACACTTTAAGGTTCATGTCCTTTGACTAGTTTGTGAACAGCCAATGTGTGGCCATCAACGCTAATTTGCTTGGTCAGGCCACCTGCCATCCAGCCCCATCCTATTTGACTGGATATCTAAATTGGCCAGCCCACTGTAGGCCTCTGCTCTCTATACGATGCGAGTACAATTTTGCCCAAATGCACAACGAGAGAAATCTACTCGCAAAGCCAAGGCAAAATCATGGAAGCCCACGAACCAAGTGTCAAATCAGAGGAAAAGAGAACCAAATCGAAGCAAATCACCACTACGTTGGACTAGTCTGTCAGAGTCCGAGTTAGAGCACGAGAGCCGTAGCCACAGCGAGGGCCAACCCGCCGGTGGCGGCGGCCAGCTGGTAGCTCCTGGTAGCAGCGGCGTCGGAGCTGGACGGCGGGGACGGCACCACCACCGGGGGGCTGTCCGACGGCGGGTTGACCTTGGAGCAGACCTTCCTGATCTCGCCCTTGTGGTGCGTGAGCACGTCGAGCCTGCTCATGGCGACGAAGGCCTCGGCGAAGTCAGCGAAGAACTCCTCCGGCGAGGCGGCTTTGGCCTGGCGCTCGACGTGGTCGCGGGTGGCAGGGTACCCGAGCAGCGCGGCGTCGGTGGAGAGGAGGCCCTTGTTGCCGGCGACGAGGGCGTAGTAGTCGGCGTCGAAGATGGCCGGGGTGGTGGGGTCGAGGTCGACGAGCGTGGTGTTGTCCCCGGGCTTGCACTGCCCGCGCAGAGTCGCCTTGTAGTTGCCGTCCAGCGCCGGGTCCGATGCGCCGTTGTGGCCGGCGAAGTCGTACAGCCGCGGCGACACCGTGGAGCACCGCGCCTGCCCGATCGAGTTCTTTAACGTCGTTAGTCTGAGTGCAAGTATAATAAGGTACGGTCAGCAGGCTAAATGGAGTTCCACGTCAACGAAATCTGAGGTAGAGGAGCGAGAATAGAAGAAAGAGAATGGAGCGGGCGGTTAGTAAAATGCCGGGCTGCACGCATAAATCGAGGAAGTAATCGTCTGCTTCTAGCCATCAGCGGGCGCGGAGCAGACGTTTTTCACGGATCGTACATGCAGCTGAGGGCCGTACATGTAGCCATTAAATACTTGAATTATTATTATAATCTATCTCTTAGTCGATCTATTCTATAAGCTGACTACTCTCGATGGCTGAAAATGACATGGCAGTTTCATTTAGCCGGCAGGGGTCTGGCTTATTAGCCATGCTCTGAGTGCCCAGCAGCTCAAGAAAAGTATACATGCGCTGCTTTCGAGAGGGACATATATAGCACTCGGAGTACAAGGGCCATTGGTTTTTTCCAGGTTTTTGTTTCTTTGGCCTGAAAAAATATATCTATATCTACAAGACTACAATACCAAGCCATATTTCATAATAGATTTAATAGAAGAATAATTTGAGGTTGCGATAATTTTTCTATTAATTTAACAAAGTTAAAGAATGACTTAGGACAAAATTAAAGCAACTTATATACTCCCTCCGAACTAAATCGTAAGACGTTTTGTTTTTTTAGATATATTATTTTTACTATGTATTCAGATATAATATATATCTAAGTGCATAGAAAAATCTATTGTATTTACAAAAGCCAACAGAACGTCTTACAATTTAAAATGGAGGAGTATTTTGGAATAGAGAGAGTACAACTCTCTTTTTGTCCTTTGTATATGAACAAAACAATGTTCTTAACGCAAGTGTAGTTTGAAAAAGTAATCAATCAATTTGTGAAAAAATAAAATGGCGCGTTTCCAAAGTTAACACTACTTGATTTGAGAGAGAATTGCAGTTGACAGGAGAGCATCCTATATTGTATTAATTTCAGAGAATGTCCAGATGGACGTTGTATAAACATTAAAAGAAAAGATTCAACTCAGGCTGCCACGCACAAAAAAGAGTCATCTTTTATGGTACTACTATTAACCTTCCAAGAGCATCTCAAGAAGCACTATGTATGGCTTCATTACAAAATTTAGATTTAGAAAGCAAATAAAAAAAATCAGGTCCCAATATACTTTATAAACGACTGTTATCTCTTTTTTTTCTATCTAAACCCATCCTTCTGGCTCTCCTAGGAGCTAGACAACATAGCTGCTTACTTGCTTGCACATGCACTGAACAATTATATGTTCACCTAAAAACCAAGAAATTTATGAGAAAAATAAAGAAGTCGCTATAATTCAAGGGTCTGAATTTTCAAGGAACAATTTTATACAACCACCGAGTGGTGTAACTAAAAATACAACTTATTTTATAATTTTTTCTCTAAATAGTACAACAACAACAAAATCAAACAACTGAAATATAGAAAAAATGGAAAACTAAAGAGTGGATATATATGAAGCAAGGAGCATACCGGAGAGGATGGCGACGTCCTTGGCAGTGAGGTTGAACCTAATAGCAAACAGGTTAATGATGTCGGTGATGTTGACGTCTGGTGCTGGAGAGAACGGGGCCACGTCGGCGGCCACCAATCTGTTGCCGTCCCTCCGCCCGGTTGGGAGCGGGATGAATGGCCCTTTCGTGTGCCCATGCCAATGCATCATAGTATATATCATTCACAACAACAAATTCAGTGTTGGAAAAGCGGTTTCCAGCAGGGGTGAACACGCGGGTCCTCAGCCCAAGCGATGGCCTTGGGCGAAGGTCGAGAGCCAAGGTAAGGTATGGGAGCGCAGAAGCGGGCCCCAAAGGGGCTAGGGTTTCATGTATTCACCAACCTCCCTCTTTACAGCATTTGTGCCCCCCATTTATAGGGCATTGTATGCTACCATGACTCATTACAATTTTGTCCCCTAACGGCTGTAGTACATCCCGATAATATCCTAATGCTAGTACATGCCAGCGGGGCAGTTTGGGCATCCTCTAATGAACCGCCTCTGCTAGGCGGGCCGTTCTCGTAGGCCTGCCAACGGCCCACAGCCCGCCACCGCCGATTCTAGGGGTCTCTGCCCCGGGGCGCCTTCGCCGTCGTGGCCTGGGCTGAGGCCTTCACCTAAGCCGCAAGGACCTCCACCATTGGCCTGGCTTCTGTGAGCCTTCGCCGTGCTCCTCAGGCCTCCACCTTCGCATAACTTTCTTGCACATCACATGAAAAAATGGTTCGCTTGTTAGGCCCCGTTTGGCACGGCTCGCGCCGGCTCCGGCTTTTCTGACAAAACACTGTAGCAACAATGTAGCACGAAGCCGGTTTTCTCTCTCCTACTTTTTTGTGTCACTGTAGCACGCGGGGAAAAGCCAGAAAACCTGGCTTCTCCGGCTTCGATGAACAGTGCCGATGTCAGTGAGAGGAGAGGGGAGGAGAGAGAAAACCGGCTTCGCGCTACAGTGCTGCTGCAGTGCCGGCCTAGCCGGAGCCGGCGCGAGCCGTGCGGCCTTAGTCTCCGCTGTCTCCAGACTCTACGGCCTCCGCGGCTCGTGGTCATTCCCCAACATTCAGTTTTCATGGACTATACTAGTACTAGCTATACGCAATGCACGTACCAGTCTGATGGAGTCACGCGCGGCAAGCGCGAGAGTGTCGGCGCAGGAGACGACGCCGGGGCAGGCGGCGTCAAGCTTGGCCTTGATGGCGTCCACCACCTCGTACCTGCGGACGCCCCGGTTCAGCGGCGCGTCCTTCTCGGCGGTGTTGCCGGGGGTGGAGTCGAGCAGGATGGAGCCCTCGCAACCGTCCACGAAGCAGTCGAGGGAGAAGAGGCGAAGCACGGCGCCCGCGAGGGGGGCTTCTCGGCGACGATGGCCGTCATGTCCTTGAACACGACATCCTCCGCCTGCTGGCACGTCTCGTTGTACGCGCCGATCATCACCACCTGGGCTTCCGCCGCCGGCATCGCTATCGCACCGATCAGGAGAAGGAGAACGGCCGCCGCCTCCGCCGCCGCCGCTGCAAGACCCAGTGGTGCTGCTGCTGCCATCGCTCTTGCTCTTGCGGCGGCCATCGATCGATCTTGAGTTCTTGATTGGTGGGGAATTGAAATTGGGGATACTCTACGGACCTTGTTCCTAGCTATTAATTGATTGTTGTATATGACTGGCTTGGGAGTATATCTGGAATGACGACTGAGCTAGGCAGCAGCCAAGATTGAATTGGCTGATCATATTTGTGCACAGCACAGCTATGTGTGTATTTATAGCAGTACCAGCTGGCTTTGCAGTGCAAGCAAGATACTAGTTACATAGGGATCCTAGGCAGGAACTTTATTGCCTGACAGACAATCAGATCGTAGAATGGAGATAGATTTTACAAAATATATAGCTTTATATAATATTTTATTTATATAGATGACTAAAAACAAATGATATAATAATGATTTTGATTAACTTAGTTGATTTTTTTTATAAACTTGAGTGAACTTATTCACATTATTTTGACTCCTTAATTTTCTGATAGTTTTACACAACAAAATCATTTAAAATTTCATATAAAATAAAAACTGAAAAGATATTAGAATGATTTGATATTCTGGGGTCATTTTTTCATAGAACCTCCAAATTTAGATGTTGATAAAAAAATTTGTTAGCATTAGGACCTTTATGTTTCGCGATTGCACGGATTTTTTGCGTCAATTTTCATTGAGAATATGAAAATGTGGACATGGTTAGAAGCTCACTAGAGGGAAGAAGGATGAGTGGGGTGGGGATATATGCTTGGCAAAGAGGTTGCCTGGAGTCGAAGAAGAACCAACTAGTCGCGGTGCAATTAATGGCGGCAGGGAAACATTTCCATATGAGGCTCAAATTCCCAACTGTCTATGGAGATGGCAAGGTTGCCTTCGTTAATGGATATGGCAAGGTTTCTTATCGTCGTCGAACCAATGTAGGCGTTGCTTGGCTGGTTTAGAGCTGGGTTTTACATTTAGGTAATGCTCAGCGACTGTTCTCGAGACACCAACACATGTCATATGGCTTTCCATGCGAAGGTGTATTTATTATAGTGGAAGACGTTTTTCTATTCGTGGGAGCTGAGCGTGCGTATGGGTATGAACAAAGTGTTTTTACTTTGATTGTTTTATTACTTTGTCACCTCAAATTGTTGAATACGATAAAGTCAAATATAAAGTGGAAAACTAACAATATACTTTATTGATCATTTAAAACATTTGAGAAATTATGCACTACACATTGTTCCATTTAGCTTTTGGGTTTGTTTGTTTGAGCTGCAGTTTTTGAGCTTTTAACTCAAAAGCGGCCTTACTGACTTTTAGCTTCAAGCTCTTGTCTTTTTGCTAAAGACTTTTGTAATAAATTTATAACTTCTTAGCACATCAAAAACCATAAAAGTTGTTTTCATCATGTTTTTTGGTTTTTAGGTTATGATAGCTTCTCAGCATGCCAATACAGAGAAAAGTTGTTCTCAACATATTTTTTTTTTGTTTGTAGTTTATTTCTTCGTGAGCCAGTTTTTCAGCTTTTTCAAAAGTCATCTCAACAACTGAGCTGTTTGTTTCATTTCACAAACCAGCAAAAAGCTAAAACAAATGCAACCTTTCTAGGGGACAGCATGCGGTGCGTGTTCATTTTATTTTAGGATTCACAATACAAACTGGACTTGCCCAATGCAATTCACAAACCAAAAGCCTTGCAAAGCAAATTCCTTGCGAAATCATGGAAACCAACACATCAAGTCACGCAAACGCAAAATCAGAGGAAATTAAATTGAAACAAATCATAATAAACAGGCAGCTAGCAACCACCACCATGCGCTGGCTGTCGTATATGCATGCGTGGAATGCAGATTGCAGAGTCTGTCAGAGTTAGAGCACGAGAGCCACAGCTAGAGCGAGTGCCACTGCCATTGCCAACCCACCGGTGGCGGTCAGATGGGCAGCGGCGGCGCTGGTACTGCTGGACGGCGGGTTGACCTTGGAGCAGACCTGCCTGATCTCGCCATTATGGTGCGTGAGCACGCCGAGCTTGCTCATGGCGACGAAGGACGTGGCGAAGTCGGCGAAGAACTCGCCCGGCGGCGCGGTGGCGGTGGCGTTGGCCTGGCGCGCGACGTAGGCGCTGGTGGTGGCGTCGAGGAGAAGGGCGGCGTCGGTGGAGAGGAGGCCCTTGTTGCCGGCGACGAGGGTGTAGTAGTCGGCGTCGAAGGTGGTCGGCGTGGGAGGGTCGAGGTAGACGAGCGTGGCGTTGTCGCCGGGCTTGCACTGCCCGCGGAGGGTGGCCGTGTAGTTGGCGTCCAGCGTGGGGTCCGACGCGCCGTTCTGCCCGCCGAAGTTGTACAGCCGCGGCGACACCGTCGAGCACCGCGCCTTCCCGATCGTGTGTGCCCCTGAAAAACGTCAAGGATTTAGGCCACGCAGAAAACACAGGCTAATGTGCTACTAGTCACATGCAAACTGAATTCTCCAATGGCCCAAGACCCGTTTAGGCGGCCCAATGGGCCTTTTTTTTTTCTTTCGTCTGTGCCTTTCTTTCTTTGTCTCCCTATTTCATTTGTGGGTTGTTTCAAAATTTCGTTTTTACCCTCATATTCACCCAAGAAGGTTGGCTTGTTGCCAAAATTTTCGAAACCTAATTTAACAACTCAGAGAGGTAATTGCATATATATGGGACCCACCGCAGGTGGTTGCGGTAGTGGATCCCACTGTAACATGTGCAACGCCAGATCTAGTTATGCAACATCTAGATGAAATACTTTGCAACATATGTCCAAAACAGTTGAATCACTTGCAACATACGTCTGAAACGCCAGGAAAACAAGTTTTGTAGCCATTGCAAAACATATAAAACATCCAGATAAAACACTTGCAACATACGTATGAAATACTTGAAACATACGCTTGCAACATGCATGTATATGCAACATCCAGATCTACTTTTGCAACATCCAGATAAAACACTTGCATCATGCCTCTGAAACAAATGAAACATTTGAGACATACACTTGAAAATATCATTGCAACATGTGCAATATCCCGATCTACTTTTGCAACATCGATATAAAACACTTGCAACATATCTCTAAAATATTTGAAACAGACGCTTGCAACATGCAGTTTTGGTGCAACATCTCCTTGCTGCTTGGGAGAATGGATCCTCGTTGGCATGTGGAGTTCTATCCCGGCTGTCGCAGGCTGCACGCGGGTGAGTTCCCGCTCCCGCCCACGGCGAACTGGGTAGGCGGGCACAAGATGTGCGTGGGTGGGCTCCGCCTAGGCTGCCGTGAGCTGCGCGCGGGCGAGCTCCACACCCAGCCGTAGTGGATGGCACTACTACGATAATCTTAACCAAGGCGGGCAAAAAGGGTTTACCGAGACGGGCAATCCATCCGCCTCGAACAAAAGGTCACGGTAAATCACTGATTTACCAAGATGGACTAGTTGCTCGCCTTGGTTAATGAAAATAAAAAAAGAAAACCCCGTGGATAGGCCCGCTGAGCCCATCCATGCGCTGCCGCCGCCCGTTGTCGTCGCTGGATCCACAACCGGAGATCGCGCCCGCCATGAATCCACCGCCGGAGGACGACACCGCCCTGGATCCGCCGCCGGGAAGCACGCTAGACCTAGATCCGCCACCAGGGGCACGCCCGCCATGGATCCGACGCCCTCCACCAGATCCAGTCGTCGGGGGGGGGAGGGGGCGCCCGCCATGGATCCGGACACCCTCCAGTGGATCTAGGCCTCAGAACCCGCCATTGTCGGATCTAGGCCAAAAGGAGGAGGTGGCGCCGCCGTCGGGGTGGTGGAGGTGGCGCCGGATCTGGGACCGCTGCTGCTGCTCCACCTGCGTGAGGCCGCGCCTCCATGTGCTTCTCGTCGCCGGATCGAGCCACCACCGGTGCGTGGGAGGAGAGGGCCACCGAGCCTCGCCGCCGCAGGAGCCCGCCGACGGTAGGCCGCGCAACTGCTCCCCCGACGTCGCACGAGAGGAGAGCGGGTGAGGGAGAGATGGAGCCACGCGCGCCCCTGCTCTAGGGAGCTGCGTGCGCCGCCGACGTGTGAGAGAGAGAGATGAGGGAGGGAGGCGAGCGACGCGAGCGGCTGAGGAGGTTACGGAGAGAGTGGTTGGAGCGAAGGGAGAGAGGGAGCGCTTGCTCGCTCGGTCGGGAGACGGAGGGAGCGAGGCGGCTCAGGAGGGAGAGGAGTGAGGGGGCCGGCTCGGGAGGGAGAGGAGTGAAACCCTAACTTGTGTTTATATACTTGGTCGCACATATCGGGCCTCGTCTGGGCCTCTAGGGCCGCGACCTTTTTTCCCGAGGCGGGCCACTTAATTAGGAAGTCCGCCTCCGAAAATGGAGGCATTTTTGGAAGGCCTGCCTCGGTTAATAGATTTTATGAACCGCCTCCGTAAATCGATTTTGCGAGGCGGTTGACCGTGACCGCATCGGTTAATTCCAGGCATTAATCGAGGCGGTTGAAATGCCTGCCCGCCTCCGAGACCCATTCCCAAACGCCACGCAAAAGATTTTTTGTAGTAGTGTGGGCAGGCGGAGGTCTTCCTGGCTGCCGACCACGGGCGGGCGGCGCAGCGCGGCCACTGGAGCTCGTGCGTACGCGGTTAGCGGCGGTGCTCGATGCTCATGCGTATGCGGACGGCGACGGTGCTCATGCGGACGCGGGTGCTAGCAGAGCTCGTGCGTACGTGACCGAAAGGCGGGTGGTGCGGTGGAGCCAATGCGAATGGGGAAGATAAGATGTCGCTCTCTTTACTTTTTTTTTACCGTGATGGAGCATTAGCGATATTGAATTGCATTGCCTTAGACAATTCTTATGAATCTCGTGAGCAAATTAATAAAGACAGATGGTAATTCAGTTTGGGCGACGGGCAACAATAATATACATACCGGAGAGGACAGCGACGTCCTTGGCGGTGAGGTTGAAGTTTTTAGCAAACAAGGCGATGATGTCGGTGATGTTGGCGCCCGGCGGCGGCGAGTTCAGGGCCACGTCAGCGGCCACCGACCTGTTGC